ATATGGTCTAATTATAGCCTAATTGGACGAACAGACCCTCACATTAGACCTAAACCAGTCTAAACCGGCCCTAATTCAACTCCAATCAGACCCTATTGGTCTAAACCGAACAATTCTAGCCCTTCCCAGACAAATCAGACCCTAACCAAGACTTAAACCCGCCTAAACTAGTCTGAATTGCCCTAAACCGGACTCAATTGACCTAAACCGGACCTGAATTGACCTAAACCGGACTCAATTATCCTAAACCGGACCTAGATTGACCTGAACCGGTCTAAACCGGTCCAATTGACCCCAAACCGGACCTGAACCGGTCCGATTTGACCTAAACCGGTCAACTGTTGACCAAATTGGTCAATGGGTTGACCGAACCGGAGTGAACCGGTCTGAACCGGCCGGAACCGGATCTGAGCCGAACTGAACCGGCCGGAATCCGGTCTGAACCGACGGAACCGGGTCAAACCCGATCTGACCGCCGATAACCGGACTTGGATCGAATCGAACCAGGTTCGATTGACCCAAATCGGGTTTAACCGAAATTGGATCGATTAAACCGGTGTAAACCGGGTTTAATCCGAAACCCTAATTTCGGAAACCCTAGCCGCCGAGTCTGCCGAGTTGACTCGGACGTTGACTCACCCGATCCCTCCACTCAGCCCTAACTCGGACGAGTTCGGACCGAGTTTCGCCGGAATCGAGCATTTCTCCGCCGAGTTCACCGAGTTTCCTTTGAAACTCGGACTCAAATCGGAGAAATCGAAACCGAAACCCTAAATTACCTCACCTTTTCCGGCGAACTTACCTCCCTGGATCGAAACCGGGTAGAGTCGGTGAAGACGGTATCAAGATCTCACGGCCACTCCGATTCTCGTACGTGCGGGAATCGAAAGAACACAACGGATTTTTACGAGTTCGGTTACCGAGCAAGCTCGGGCCTACATCTCGGCCGGACGGTGCCGACGAATCCACTAGAACAGAACGGAAGGAAACAACCGAGAAGAGAAAATACACCCGGTGGCCCTCCACACAAGGTCGGAGGCTCACCGGTTTACAACCAGAGAAGAAAACCCGAGACACTTACCGAAACCGGCCTTTGCTTACCGCACCGCCGTCGACTTAGCTCCGTCGTCTCCGAGAAACGTCGGCCGCCTTGCCTCTCTCTCTTCTCACCACGATCGCCTCCGCGGTCGCTCTTCTCTCTCTCTCGAATGATCTCACCTCGAGCCACACGCCACTCCCGCGTTATGTCGAGTATTAGGGTTCATTAACCCTAAGTTCCAAAACGCACAGTTTCGGCCATTGGGCCGAGTTCTTTCTTCCACCAAATTGGGCCGCTGGGCCGAGCGGGCCCAACAGAGGATCAGTGAATTTTCACAAAAGAAATCTTTCTATATTAAAAAGAATTTAATTTGCTCTAAAATGATATTTTTTTTTAAATTTCTTGCTTTTGAATCTTTTAATTTTTAGATTTATAATTATTTTTCTTACTAATAGTCATTATCGGATTTATTGAATTAATTTTTTTATGGTTGAGAAATAAATTGAATACCGACAAAATACCAATTTCAGAATTTATTGTTATTTCCCACTCTTTTAAAAGATAAAAAATTAGATTTTTGTGGGGGTTTCAATAAAAATATATATTTTTTAAAATGGATTTGTAATTATTTTTCTAATCAATAATATTGGACTTATTTAATTAATTTATTATCGTGGAGAAGTAAATTGAATACTTGCGAAAATACTAATTTCAGAATTTATCATTATTTCCCGCTCTTTAAAAAAATAAAAAATAGATATAATTCCTCAGAGACATGGAGAGAGAGAGAGTCCCTGAAAAGAAAGAAATTCTTCTGCCCCGTCTCTGCGTCCACCATCGTTTTCTCCTCTCCCGCAGATTTTTTTTTCTTTGCTTCTCTTCTCGTTGCTCAGTTAGGGTTTTGAAATCTGTCATTATCACCATCTTCGTCGTCAACCCTCCATTACCACCGTCGTCTCTCTCGTCTTTCGAGGCGTCCTTCGCCTTAAGATTTCTCCGGTAACCTCCGCTTGCTCTTTCTCCGCCGATTGTTTCCATTTGACCGCTCTAACCGTCGTATTTTGTGCAAAATTTGGTTTATTTTTGTGGCGATCGTTGCTTGAAAAGTTTTCTGAGCTCATTTCCCAGTGATCGGAGCTCGCTTGAGTTCGAGTTTTCTTCTTCGGAAGTAATTTTTGGTTTTCTGCTTGGACATGGTCGGGCTTCAGCTCTAATTAAGTCTAGTGTTACTCTGATTAGAGTTCTGAGAAACGCGAGAAACGAATTAGTTGACTCGAGCAAATACCAGAATTGGCTCTAACCCTAGAAATCGATTGTATTTTCGCTGTTAATTTCGATGAGAATGAGCTCTTCCTTTGGTCATTTCGTTTAGCTTTTAGGATTTCAGTGTCTACAAGTTGGAGAACAGTTGGTCAATTTACTCTTCTGGAGAGTGCTGAAAACTCGGTTGTCGGCTTTTAGCATAAATCCACTTTTATGGGTACTACGAGTGTCCCTTCAACACAAAATTTGTAAGGTTTATCGTCAAGCAAGTAATTTCTGCCATAAATAAAAGCAACTGATCTCTCAGCTGTGTTGTTGGTAACTCTTTTAAATTCGGAAGTGACTTCTGCTTCATTGTTGGGATCAAGTAATGTGTGAGTGTGGCACTTTTACATAAGTTTAGTGAATGTGTTGATCCTTCGTTGTTTCATTGCGGTTTGTATGCATGTATTAGTTAGCTATGTTGTTTTGGCATAGGAGACATGCTGACAACTTCGTTATCTTTCAGGCTCTATGTGCGGGGAAAAAAGCCATGGAATTCATATGTGATCTTTTTGTTTTGATTTTGTGTGTAGTTACTCGATCCATTTCTTGGGAGGACGCCTTTGGAGATATTGCGATGGATGATGGGGGGCATCGTGAGAATGGTCGGCATAAAGCAGATCAGTATAAAACAGCTCAGAGCCAGGTAGCCCTGGCAATATTTTCCAAAGGATCAATTTGGTTGGCAATTCTGTTTCTTCAAATATATCTCAAGCTTTTGTGTCTTATCTGACTGTAACTAAGTATATTAGTCTTAATGTTGTTGTAGTGGCTGACACAGCATCAGCCTTCAATGAAACAAGTAATGGCAATAATAGCAGAGCGTGATGCAGCAATCCAAGAGAGAAATCTGGCTATATCAGAGAAAAAAGCAGCAGTAGCCGAACGAGACATGGCATTCCTTCAGCGAGACACAGCTATTGCTGAGCGCAACAACGCGGTAATGGAGAGAGATAATGCACTCGTGGCCCTTCAATACCGTGAGAGTTCCATGGTGACTACTGCCACTATGTCCTCGTGTACAGCGGGGTGCCAAATTTCCCATGGCGTGAAGCACATGCACCATCCTCAGCAACATCATCACATGCATCATCATCATCATCACATGACCCAGATGGGTGAAAACGCTTATGGTTCAAGAGAATTAGAGCCAAATGATGCTCTCCCGACATCACCTACTGGGGGCACCATGGAATCTGCAAAACCAAAGAGAGGTAAAAGACCGAAAGAACCAAAGACGACGACATCTGCTATCAAGAAAGGATCGAAGAATCAGAGGAAGATCAAGAAAGAGAGCGAGGAGTTGGACTTGGACAAGATAATGATATTGAAAACCCAGCATTACCAAAACAACGACGAAGAAGAAGCAGGCAAGCATATCGGTCTAGGATCCAAATCCGATTGGAAAGGCCAGGAAATGGGGCTTAACCAAGTTGTTTACGACGAGACAACGATGCCACCGCCTGTTTGCTCATGTACCGGAGTTCTTAGGCAATGCTACAAATGGGGAAACGGTGGATGGCAATCTTCATGTTGCACAACCACACTGTCGATGCATCCTCTCCCGGCTCTGCCCAATAAACGACATGCACGCGTTGGTGGCCGGAAAATGAGCGGCAGCGTTTTCAACAAGCTGCTCAGCCGCCTCGCCGCTGAAGGGCACGATCTTTCGAACCCGGTTGATCTCAAGGACCATTGGGCGAAGCACGGGACCAACCGCTACATCACTATCAAGTGAAAGTGCCTGCCTTTTAAGGTATTGCAACCAAATTCATATGTGATCCCTGAAATGCAAAAAAAAATAAAAATAAAAAAAATTGTATGTTTCATGCCCATTTTGTATAATATTGGATAAGTTAGCAGTTTCTTGAATTGATAAAACTTGGAAAGTAAATCTTAGATCATGGGGCGTCCTTGTCTGAAAACGTTAGCGAATTGATCTTACAATGATCACTTGTTGTAATTCTTTTGCTTAGTGAAATATTAATCTGTCCTGTAAAATATCTCTTCTTCCATGAGTATGTCCTAATTAGGGTCAAGACTACTTGATTGGTTCAGGTTTGGGTCAGTTACCCTTAATTATTCGGTTTCGGATTTGATTTGACGTTTAATTGACAAAACACAGCCGAGACAGAACAAATCAAATAAATTCAAACTAAATGTCGTTTGGTTTAGTTTTAGATCGATTTAGTTTGGTTCCAAATTTCAGATTGTTGACTTAGGTCTATCTAATTATTAAATCATATGTTTTCTTTTTTTTTTTTCGGTTGTTAAAAATGATACACAACGTCCTAAATACGATCTTAAAAATCGGATCCTAATTTTGTATATTTAACTTAGGCAATAAAATATCAATACATGGAATAATTTTCCC